ATTACATACAAGTAACTATACATACCAATTACATACAGGTAACTATACATACTGATTGCATACAGGTAACTATACATACAGAGTACATACAGGTAACTATACATACAGATGAATATATGTACACATTATATACAGGTATATATACAAACGGGAAGCTATACATACAGATTGTTCTACAAGCAGGTTCCTCACAGCTAGGTTACAACACTAAAAAAACTAACAACAACCGCAGCTTGAGACCACACTAAAAGTCAACCAAAGCTGCTAACCACACAAGCTGATGATCATTTTTGAGCTGATAACTGCACTTGCACAAAGCCATATGGTAACCATATTAACAGATACTGACACTCACAGGTAATGAAATCACAGGTACTGACACTCACATGTAACCATTTTCACAGGTACTGACACTCACAGGTAATGAAATCACAGGTACTGACACTCACATGTAACCATTTTCACAGGTACTGACACTCACAGGTAATGAAATCACAGGTACTGACACGCACATGTAACCATTTTCACAGGTACTGACACTCACAGGTAATGAAATCACAGGTACTGACACTCACATGTAACCATTTCCACAGGTACTGACACTCACAGGTAATGAAATCATAGGTACTGACACTCTCAGGTAATGAAATCACAGGTACCGACACTCATGTAACCATACTCACAGGTACTGACACTCACAGGAAACCATACTCACAGGTACTGAAACTCACAGGTAACCATACTCACCGGTACTGACCCTCTCAGGTAACCATACTCACAGTTACTGACACTCACGGGTAACCATTCTCACAGGTACTGACACTCACAGGTAACCATATTCACAGGTACTGACACTCACAGGTAACCATACTCACAGGAACTGACACTCATGTAACCATACTCACAGGTACTGACACTCTCAGGTAACCATACTCACTGGTACTGACACTCACAGGTATCCATACTCACAGGTACTGACACTCACAGGTAACGATACTCACAGGTACTGACACTCACAGGTAACCATTCTCACAGGTACTGACACTCACAGGTAACCATACCCACAGGTACTGACACTCACAGGTAACCATACTCACCGGTACTGACACTCTCAGGTAACCATACTCACAGTTACTGACACTCACGGGTAACCATTCTCACAGGTACTGACACTCACAGGTAACCATATTCACAGGTACTGACACTCACAGGTAACCATACTCACCGGTACTGACACTCTCAGGTAACCATACTCACAGGCACTGACACTCAGGTAACCATACTCACAGGAACTGACACTCACAGGTAACCATACTCACAGGAACTGACACTCATGTAACCATACTCACAGGTACTGAAACTCACAGGTAACCATACTCACAGGAACTGACACTCATGTAACCATACTCACAGGTACTGACACTCACAGGAAACCATACTCACAGGTACTGACACTCAAAGGTAACCATACTCACAGGTACTGACACTCAAAGGTAACCATACTCACAGGTACTGACACTCAAAGGTAACCATACTCACAGGGACTGACACTCACAGGTAACCATACTCACAGGGACTGACACTCACAGGTAACCATACTCACAGGGACTGACACTCACAGGTAACCATACTCACAGGGACTGACACTCACAGGTAACCATACTCACAGGGACTGACACTCACAGGTAACCATACTCACAGGGACTGACACTCACAGGCAACCATACTCACAGGTACTGACACTCAGGTAACCATACTCACAGGTACTGAAACTCACAGGTAACCATACTCACCGGTACTGACACTCTCAGGTAACCATACTCACAGTTACTGACACTCACAGGTAACCATTCTCACAGGTACTGACACTCACAGGTAACCATACACACAGGAACTGACACTCTCAGGTAACCATAGTCACAGGTACTGACACTCATGTAACCATACTCACAGTTACTGACACTCACGGGTAACCATTCTCACAGGTACTGAAACTCACAGGTAACCATACTCACAGTTTCTGACACTCTCAGGTAACCGTACTCACAGGGACTGACACTCTCAGGTAACCATACTCACAGATACTGACACTCACAGGTAATGAAATCACAGGTACTGACACTCACATGTAACCATTTTCACAGGTACTGACACTCAGGTAACCATACTCACAGATACTGACACTCATGTAACCATACTCACAGTTACTGACACTAACAGGTAACCATACTCACAGGTACTGACACTCACAGGTAACCATACTCACAGGTAACCTCTTTTTGCAGTGACATACCCATTTGTATGACACTTAATATGATTCATTGCTGGTGTAAAATGGCTCCCTTAGACTAGATTTATATTTACAATATCATTAATGTTGTTACACTTTCCAAAATGCTGCTGTTAAAATCCTACAAGAAGTATTGTGTAATAGTTTTTTATCTATATATATTTACTAGGTTTAAACTGTTTCGTTGTTGTAGCACTATGAACACCTTGTGACCCCACTGTGGCTGATGAACTCCCTAGATGACCCTAACGACTACGGTGTGGCCCAGTACTGTGTACCTGCTCTCACCTTCATTGCCCAGGACAGGTGGATAGAGACAGGTACTTACTTGTTAAAATGTCACACACATAAACCCCTCCTAGTTTAGGGGTTGTATTCCACAAAGGCCTCCCTACAGCATCAGTGGGGTAGCTTCAGTGTCCTTGGCTGTGGTGACTGGAAGATGATGCCAATGATTCACCTGTGCAGGTTCAGGGAAAGAATAGAAGCTGTGAGTCCAAGGGGGGATACTGGGGGAGACCAAGAAATGACCTGCTGTTTTCCTTCTTTTCTTCTATAAGTTTGTAACTTCAGTATCTCGTTTGGAGTAAATCTACTATTGACCTGTTCATCAAATTTGACCCTTCTTACCGTATTGTTGATTTATGAAACAGACAAAGTTGTCAACAAAAGTCATCTTATCTTGACATTATTTATAGCTTCTCAGAATCTTTCTCTGTCTGTTTTACTGTCATTTAATAGACATTCACTGTAAATTGGATTAATCATAATGACAAAGTTTAAAGCATTCTCCTAATTGGAATTGGCTCTAAGTTAAATAAGTGAACGTTGCACATTTGTATAACCATGTAATTGTATAATCCAAGAAATTCAAATATTTGTTAATTTCCAGTAAACAACTGATAGGCTTCTCAGCTGTGGATTGATTCACACTTAAACTTGTACTGTATAACTGTTTCACTCCTGATCAGCTGTGGACTGATTCACACTTAAACTTGTACTGTATAACTGTTTCACTCCTGATCAGCTGTGGACTGATTCACACTTAAACTTGTACTGTATAACTGTTTCACTCCTGATCAGCTGTGGACTGATTCACACTTAAACTTGTACTGTATAACTGTTTCACTCCTGATCAGCTGTGGACTGATTCACACTTAAACTTGTACTGTATAACTGTTTCACTCCTGATCAGCTGTGGACTGATTCACACTTAAACTTGTACTGTATAACTGTTTCACTCCTGATCAGCTGTGGACTGATTCACACTTAAACTTGTACTGTATAACTGTTTCACTCCTGATCAGCTGTGGACTGATTCACACTTAAACTTGTACTGTATAACTGTTTCACTCCTGATCAGCTGTGGACTGATTCACACTTAAACTTGTACTGTATAACTGTTTCACTCCTGATCAGCTGTGGACTGATTCACACTTAAACTTGTACTGTATAACTGTTTCACTCCTGATCAGCTGTGGACTGATTCACACTTAAACTTGTACTGTATAACTGTTTCACTCCTGATCAGCTGTGGACTGATTCACACTTAAACTTGTACTGTATAACTGTTTCACTCCTGATCAGCTGTGGACTGATTCACACTTAAACTTGTACTGTATAACTGTTTCACTCCTGATCAGCTGTGGACTGATTCACACTTAAACTTGTACTGTATAACTGTTTCACTCCTGATCAGCTGTGGACTGATTCACACTTAAACTTGTACTGTATAACTGTTTCACTCCTGATCAGCTGTGGACTGATTCACACTTAAACTTGTACTGTATAACTGTTTCACTCCTGATCAGCTGTGGACTGATTCACACTTAAACTTGTACTGTATAACTGTTTCACTCCTGATCAGCTGTGGACTGATTCACACTTAAACTTGTACTGTATAACTGTTTCACTCCTGATCAGCTGTGGACTGATTCACACTTAAACTTGTACTGTATAACTGTTTCACTCCTGATCAGCTGTGGACTGATTCACACTTAAACTTGTACTGTATAACTGTTTCACTCCTGATCAGCTGTGGACTGATTCACACTTAAACTTGTACTGTATAACTGTTTCACTCCTGATCAGCTGTGGACTGATTCACACTTAAACTTGTACTGTATAACTGTTTCACTCCTGATCAGCTGTGGACTGATTCACACTTAAACTTGTACTGTATAACTGTTTCACTCCTGATCAGCTGTGGACTGATTCACACTTAAACTTGTACTGTATAACTGTTTCACTCCTGATCAGCTGTGGACTGATTCACACTTAAACTTGTACTGTATAACTGTTTCACTCCTGATCAGCTGTGGACTGATTCACACTTAAACTTGTACTGTATAACTGTTTCACTCCTGATCAGCTGTGGACTGATTCACACTTAAACTTGTACTGTATAACTGTTTCACTCCTGATCAGCTGTGGACTGATTCACACTTAAACTTGTACTGTATAACTGTTTCACTCCTGATCAGCTGTGGACTGATTCACACTTAAACTTGTACTGTATAACTATTTCACTCCTGATCAGCTGTGGACTGATTCACACTTAAACTTGTACTGTATAACTGTTTCACTCCTGATCAGCTGTGGACTGATTCACACTTAAACTTGTACTGTATAACTATTTCCCTCCTGATCAGGTGTGGATTGATTTACATTTAAGTCTTTCAATAATTGTTATATTATGTTTTTTCCAGAAGAAAAATTGGATTGCAGTGGATCGCTTTCTCAATGCATCAAGAGTTCCGATATGGTTACACCAGGTTACCATGATCACATGGTCAATGTGGGCGCAATAAACAGTGGCAGAGAGCAGATCGCCGCAGCTTAGTTATAACATCATCTCACTATAGCTCATAGGTCCTTTGGTGCGTTAAGGAGGTTAGATGGAGGATTCACCAGCCAGATAATTCACCTCAGTATTCAACAGGAGTATTCAACAAGAGGAATATTCACCAGGCTGATATTCAAACTTGGTATTCAACCTAAGTATTCAACAGGAGTATTCCACATGAGTATTCCGCAGGAGTATTCCACAAGAGTAGTAATCAATACAAACAGTATTTAAGACAGATGTTGAGCTAACATACGTCCAAGTCTAGGACATCACACAGGTCCATTGACAACTTAGGTACTTCCTGCCGCTGTTTAGAGTACCCTGCGTGTACTGACCTCCTGTTTAGAGTACCCTGCGTGTACTGACCTCCTGTTTAGAGTACCCTGCATGTACTGACCTCCTGTTTAGAGTACCCTGCGTGTACTGACCTCCTGTTTAGAGTACCCTGCGTGTACTGACCTCCTGTTTAGAGTACCCTGCGTGTACTGACCTCCTGTTTAGAGTACCCTGCGTGTACTGACCTCCTGTTTAGAGTACCCTGCGTGTACTGACCTCCTGTTTAGAGTACCCTGCGTGTACTGACCTCCTGTTTAGAGTACCCTGTGTGTACTGACCTCCTGTTTAGAGTACCCTGCGTGTACTGACCTCCTGTTTAGAGTACCCTGCGTGTACTGACCTCCTGTTTAGAGTACCCTGCGTGTACTGACCTCCTGTTTAGAGTACCCTGCGTGTACTGACCTCCTGTTTAGAGTACCCTGCGTGTACTGACCTCCTGTTTAGAGTACCCTGCGTGTACTGACCTCCTGTTTAGAGTACCCTGCGTGTACTGACCTCCTGTTTAGAGTACCCTGCGTGTACTGACCTCCTGTTTAGAGTACCCTGCGTGTACTGACCTCCTGTTTAGAGTACCCTGCGTGTACTGACCTCCTGTTTAGAGTACCCTGCGTGTACTGACCTCCTGTTTAGAGTACCCTGCGTGTACTGACCTCCTGTTTCCCCCTGATTGACATCAGATCAACATTAATACCTGACAACCACCATACCATTAGATTTGATTTAATTTGTACTGAATGAATTCTACACCAGTTTATTTCTACTCCAAACTATTTGCTCAAACTGAATATTTATATAAATATATATATTTTAGTGATCAGTATTAAATCATTCTTCTCTCATCAATGTATATACCAATGTGTACAAATATCATTTATCAAAAGTACTTTCAAAATATTTATATTTCTAAGGTTACATAACAATAATTGTCCTGTATAATATGTATATGATCTATGTGACATAGACAAGTATTTCTACTGTTTATGTTTATATGTTAATCAGATCTGATGTAGGTTGTTATTTTATCCTGTTATAAGAGGTTATCCCCCTTTGGTAACTAGTACCTGTCAGTCTAGTATCCAGGCAGTTCTAAGGGATTGTCTCTCTTCAGTAACAAGAGTGCTGGCTAGTTTTGTTTCCAGACTGTTATAAGAGGTTATCCCCCTTTGGTAACTAGTACCTGTCAGTCTAGTATCCAGGCAGTTCTAAGGGATTGTCTCTCTTCAGTAACAAGAGTGCTGGCTAGTTTTGTTTCCAGACTGTTATAAGAGGTTATCCCCCTTTGGTAACTAGTACCTGTCAGTCTAGTATCCAGGCAATTCTAAGGGATTGTCTCCCTTCAGTAACAGGTGCTAATTAGTTTTGTTTCCAGACTGTTATAGCAGGTTATCCCCCTTTGGTAACAAGTGCCTGTCAGTCTGGTACCCTGGCAGTTTTTTAAAATGATTTTTCGGTCTGGTATCTGGGCAGTTAGGAGGAATTGTCTCCCTTTAAGAATTGATGTTTATCAGTCTGATGTCTAGAATGTCTACCTGTAACATGTCAAGAACTGTATCTATCTCTTTGTAATTTCTATATAATTGGTCTTGCAGACACCACTTCTGCAGAACTCATCTTCTTTTCTCAAGTATTTATGCATATGCTTATTGTGTTAACAGAGTTTATTTATATAGCCTGTATAGAAATAGTCTATACAGAGTTGTTATAAGATACCTCCTTTACTTGAACGGTTTTATGTTTTTGAGTATTGTGTATAAGCTACTTGTTTGTTTTGATTAAGATAATGGACATTCTTGAGCTGTGGTCCTCATCCTGTGTGTAAGAAAACATGGACAAATATCAATAAACGTATTGTTAAAGTTATTTTTATTTATCATAGTAAATTAACATTTCTGTAGATTTGATATATAAATGCAAAATGTATTTTACTATGAGCTTTAGTGGAATGCCAAAGAAGGAAGGACACACTTTGTATGTTGCTTTGCTTGTTAGGTGATATCCTGTCAATTGTATTACAGTTACCACCATCAGCTACAATTGTGGAATAAAATCTTGTATAAACCCCTTTTTATAGTCAGTAACGGCAATCACATAGCGTTTCCCTCCTTTATCATCTAGGGCGGTAATCATGTGACGTCTCTTTTCTTCTGCGTCTGGAGCGGTGGTCACGTGAGGTTACCATCTTTTACTGTCTATGACGGCTATCAGAAACATTTGCTTCCACTATCGTCAGGTGTAGCAGTCACGTGATTCTCTATCCTTTACTGTATGTTGCGGTAGTCATGTGACTGCTATCCTTTACCGTATGTTGCGGTAGTCACGTGAATCGCCATCCTTTACCGGGCCTCAGACCACAATTAATTCTACTATATGTTACTACCAAACGCAAAATTAAATTAAATTATTTTAAAACTTTGAGCAGGGTCTGGTTCCTATTTCATACTGTAGGTCTATTCAGACTGAACATACAGTGAGCTGGAAAGTACCTCATGACCGGCATTTAAGAAAGATAATTTCATTTGAATGCCACTTCCCTGCATGTATAGGGGAAAATACCAAAAATCACAAAATATCACTACCCAAGCCTCATCACTCATTGTGTCCTGCTGCCAATACAAACTAGGAAACTGTCAAATAAATTTAATCACTAGAATAGATATTGTTGAACAATTCTATGTAAAACAAATGTACATATCTGTCATAGATCAGACAGGAAAATATATTTATTAACCCACCTGAAATGTCCGTATGCACTACATTCGCGTACAACGACCCGGAAGTGTAATTGTGGTCTGAGGCCACCGTATGTTGCGGTAGTCACATGATTCTCTATCCTTTATCGTGCGTTGTGGTAGTCACGTGATTTCGTACACCATGCTGTGTCTGATGCATATCTATAATTACCAACTCTTCCCTGTGATAACTTATCCGTCCAGCCTAAGTCTGATATCTTGTGTTAATGGAAATATTTTTATTACTGATATTTATTTACTTTTAGAAAGATTAATTTACAAATGTACGGTATATTTATTAACTTGTTTTTCTCAAGTAAAATGTTTTTGTTTCCTTAACTAATTTTGGGTTATTTTTAATTTTATATTCCACTGCTATCAATGTATAAATCCTGTTCTCAGTACCAGTTGGAACGAACCACCATAATCTCATACGCATCTCAATTCCTGTTTGAATTGAGCGATATTATTTGTAGGTATGGTTCATATGAACGACGACGCTAACGGACCGATCATTCCGTGTCAAGTGACCAGGTGTCCCAACTGAAAGCAGTTCAAAGCTTAAATGACCGATATTTCTATTTGGTACAAATATATCGCCGAACCTTGAGTCGTCCCTTTACATTGAGACACGGAACATCTAGCCTCCAGTTCTGTCTAATGGACTGTTGTGTGTGACTGAAATATATACCTGTCTATTACCCCTTAACACATCAGTCGTACTGACGGGTTGGTGACAATATGAACGTATTTACCTGCCCAAATACGTTTTGGGTTGTTTTTGTTTTACGTTCTATTAACAGCTACGGTCATTTAAGGACGTGGCAGGTTTTGGTGGTGGAGGAAACCAGAATGCCCGGAGAGAAAACACCGACCTACGGACAGTACCTGACTGTCCCACGTAGGTCTCGAACCCGCGACCCAGTGATGCTAGTGGTAGCAGAATGTCAGACGCCCTAACCACTTGGCCACCGTGACCCCTGCCTGACTACTCGCCATATTACAGTATATACTTACCTGAAGTGGTGTGTCCACTAAACACCATCTAATGTATTTATTAATTACTGCTTCATTAATTTTTCCTTATATATTCGTTCGAAATATATTTACATAAAACAATTGTTTTCACACATGATGAATAATAACTTTTTGACTTCAAAATTATATAACCGCCGAGCTGGTATAGGTGACATAGTTCAGCATTATCATTTTAGTCCTACGTGCAGTTATGATGATAGTGTGGAATGTGTAAGCAATGTGTTCAAGTTAATATGATTATAACCGTGACAATATTATAGCTAAACAATATAGCCATGGTAGTATTAAAAAGTTGATAATATCATAATTGTGGGAATGAGTATAATTGTGACAATATTGTAACTGTGACAATATTATTATGGGGACTATAACATTGATATGATTAAACTGTGACAATAAACCAAGAAAAACCGAAGTGTAACTGTAAATCCGTGACAAGGACCTATCGGTAATACGTTACATAGAACCAGCAAACTATAACTT